AGTCGAGCGTCCTAACCACCTAATTGATATGAAACTTTAAAAACGTTTAATTTGTTATAAACAAACTACTGATAACAGATAAGAGGGTATTACTGTATATGTTAAAAGTTACAATATGTTGTGAAAGTTACTTTGGCCAAAAAAGAAAATTTAAGATTTAGAATAAATCAGTTTAATGTTAGAAATCCAAGTGAGAGTCCATTAAAACGCTCACCACATTTTTATAACTTTATATTAAGTACATATGTTTCATTTCAAGAACCTCTCCTTTTCAGCCGCGGCATAGCGGCTCATAGAATATCTTTGAGTTTTTCAACTACAAACTTTTAGCTCATAGCTCCGCCATCTCTTGACCGACTTGAGATATAATTACAGTTTTGGACTCAGGAGGTCCAACCCTTTGAATTGATGTATTTGATCACGCCCAAGGTCTCATAGATTAATTTACACTAATCCTGCCTAAAATAATTTAAATTTGAAGGTAGGTTGGTAGAGATCCTGTTGAGTAATAAAATCGAATCTGGTATACGTGCGCCCCACGCTTGGTATTGCTGGCGCACAAAAATATAGCTAATAAAAATGGAAACGTAGGTCTAATAGATTAATTTACTCTAATCCTGCTTAAAATAATTTCAAGTGTTGCGGCTATTGAGGATTCCCCCTTGTTTGTTTTCCGTTTTGATTGGATGATAATAAACAAAATATATTATCGTTGCTAATTATTTTATAAGAAGAGTTATAAGTAATTTGAATCTAATATAAATATTTTGGGGAATTTTATGTTTCATTATTTACAAGTTACAATTGTTTAGTGATTTTATATATCATATAATCATTATTTACCATTGTCCCCTTAGAATAAGAAGTTGATAACCAACCAAAACCCAGAATAAAAAGTTGTTAACCAATCAAAAATCAGGATAAAACGTTACCAGCCAATCAAAAATTAGAATAAAAAGTTACCAGCCAATCAAAAATCAGGATAAAAAAGTTCCAACCAACGAAACATCAGAATGAAAAGTTGCTAACCAACCAAAAATCAGAATCAGAATAAACGATAAGTCATTCCTGTTGACATGGCGATTCTGTTCAATCTTGAAATACAACGTATCCAAAACTTATGTTGACAAAATCGTTTACTTTATCCTCCATTACAAAGTCTACTAGATTTCCATCACACCAAGAAAGACACTGCAACGCCACACGGTTCAATTTTCAATACGATTAACTGTTGATCGGAAAAAAACGTCCATTTTTTTTATGTGCGCATCATCTTTGTTTGCATCATCTCTAAGTACGCATAATATAGTGACCTATTTGTCAATTAATGTATAAATTGACAGTGGTGAAATGATTGGTTTCTCTTGTTATATAGGATTATTTCTCACAACCCAATAAAAAAAGATTGGTTTCTTTTGTTTTACAGGATTATTTCTCACAACCCAATAAAAAAAGATTGGTTTCTTTTGTTTTACAGGATTATTTCTCACAACCCAATCAAAAAGATTGCCGCAGGCGCGTTTGTTGGACTAGATAATTTGCGAGAACTGTAAGTTTTCTTTGTATTTGTATTAAATAATCTTACTTAAAATCACTTATTGGAACGTAAACTGAACGACAAACATAAAAAAAAACCTAGGCTTGTACCAATCTGTTTTGATGTGATGAGGATCTTTAACGTTAAAAACAAGAAACCTTAGACTTTAGTTATTTATTTTAAAACGTCTAAGTTTTTGAACGTTAGAAACGTTATACATTTAAAATATAACATTAATTAGAAGACCTTTTGGCTATTTTTGTAACCAATCCCAAGTGTCAGTTATGGAATAAGAAGAACAATATATATATATATATACCTAGAAAAATAAAATTCATTTAAATTCGTTTTCTCTGGATTTCAGTGACATTCGAACTTGCCACATCAGAGCCATCTATCGTGAAACATTTGCACCTTTGATCAATTTAACAAAACTGTAAGTTATCTGAGAATAGGCCTAACTTTCATACTTTGTCACGTACTGCCTTTTATATACATAGTAGGGTTTCTTCAAGGTTATCCTCTTTGAATACAGTTGAAAAAAATCATTCTCGACAAAAAAAAAATAAGTTTCACATTTGTGATGAATTTTACAAGAAGTTTGTAACCGATTTCCTTGCGTAAATGTAACCGTGGGTTTCTAGAAACTGTATAAAAAAACAGACTTCAATTAATATGTCTTGTAAAACAACTTGATTTCAAACAACCTATTTCGTGACTTTAGGAAATGAAACCATGAAGCTTTCCTTAGTACTTGCTGTTGTTATTTTTAGCCAAGTTTTCTATTCGACTTTAAGGTCACGAAACCGGTTTCTTTTATCGCATTGAAATTATCTTTTAATTGTGGATAACAGCGACTATAAGTTCACGAACCTAGTAGCGTTTGTTGTATTTGAACTGTTTTTCTAATTATGGATAGCAGTGATTTTAAGGTCACGAAACCGGTAACGTTCATTTGTATTGGAATGTTTTTTGTTTAATTTTAGATAGCAGTGACTTTAAAGTAACGAAACCGATAGCGTTCATTGTATTGGAATTAATTTTAATTATAGAAAGTAGCGAATTTAAGATCACGAAACCGGTTTCTTTCGCCGTCTTGGAACTTATTTTTAACTATGAATAGCAGTGACTTAAAGGTTACGAAACCGGTAATTAATTATATTGTAGATTGTTTCATTGTATCTGTCCTTTTTATTGGAATCTATTTAAATATGTTCTAATGACATTTTTTGTATTATTTTATGATGATATTTTTTATGCTTTTTGTTTTTTAAATTTCTGTCAGATTATTGGATGATAACGAAATCCAATTCCTTCCTGCCGGTTCCTTTGAGAATTTGGAAAACCTTTTAATATTGTAAGTGAACTTCAGGTTTCAGCTGTTCTACGCATAAATATTGTAAAACCATGTTCATTGGTATGATACAAGAAAGAACAATTTAACATGAAGTTGAAAAGGAGCACTCTTTCCAAAAACAACAGTCCTAAACGAAAAAGTAGAAAACATAATACAATAAACTCATTTTGCATGGCATCGAACCCCATTGTTCCTAGGAGATAAGTGGTGCAGATGGTTTATATTGCTTAACAGTCACCTTTCACGTTCAGTTACCTAGTTATATTTAACACTAGCGAAAGTACCCGGCGGCTTCGCAGGAGTTATTTGTTAGGTTGATATATTTTAGCAAGTGCATAAAATTTATCATGAAAGTGAAAATATCGATTCAATTTTAAACTTAAATTGTTTCTGAATTAAGTTATTATTTCTGTTATATTACCAAAGTTTTTAAACGAACCTCCTTAATCAACGGAGACTCTAAATTATGAAATCAACAAATGCCTTTCCAGTTTTGTTGTCTCTACGTTTCATTTTATACTTTCACTACATAGACTAACAACAATATTAGATTATACTTTTGTTGCTAAGCAACATGACATAAAAGGCATTGTGGGAACGCGTTATTACCAAGATGCACTGGTTTTTCTATATAATAGAAGTTGTTAATCTAACTGATATACTACAGGGTATACTATGGGGCGCGCATACACGTGAATAAGATAATTAATAATACCCAGGTGCACACCCTCAGGGTCCACTTAGTAGGTGTACAAAATTTCAGGTTCTTTCCTGTTGGAGCTATGGCGGTCACACAGATCCACAGACACGCCCTTTTATTATTCTAGATAGTGGATTCATGTACGATCCCTATTTAACTCTTGGAATGGGCACTGATACGAGGTAGTTGGAAAATTTTAATTAAATTCGTTAAGTCTCTTTAAAAAACCGAGTTAACCCTGACCAAACAAACGGATAAAACCACTCATTTTATATGTAAAGTACATGGGGCATCCATCCCCTCGGTAGGGGACAGCGTGAAGTCTACTTACTTGCAACGCCAAAATCCGGGGTTCAATTTTCCGCAGTGAACACAACTTATAGCTCAATGTGGCTTTGCACTAAAAAAAAAAATAAATACAGGACATTCTACCAGTAGTTGGTGGGATAATCGCAATACTTATGATTTAAAATCAATTAGATTAAGATTAGGGACTCTCTAACAAATAAAATCATGGACTTACAAAGAATTTGATGCATAAATTGTCCATGAAAATATGTTTGAAACGTCTATTTGGTTAGGACACGATCGGTAATTCTAGGATTAAATAGGAGACTACCTTAACTCTTTAGATAAGTATCTAATTTATGTAATGTATCTAATTTTCAAAAAGTTAACTTTTGAGAAAATGGCAATCTTTCAACACGACAAGATATCATATAAAAACAGACGTCTCTTCACTTACCCAAGTATTAGCCTTACATGGAAAATTTGGAATATTGGACTCTCAACTTCACAGAAAAACAAACATTTTTTTGTGTGTGTGTAAACGCCTCGACTCCATAGACCAATGAAATGCAATTCACCATGGAAACTGAAAATAACAAAAACACTACGGTTCATGGACATTCTCGTCGTGAAACGTGACGACAAATTCAAAACTAATGTTTACAGAAAAGCAAGACAGAGATCAGCCACTCCACTCATCTTATCTTCCATAAAACGGTATTATCCTCCAGTGAAACTGAATAAAGAAGCTGAAAAACATCTGTGACAAAAGCTCCGCCAAGGATTAGTAGTGGCGCCACACTTAACACCATTTTAAACAGAACGAATACTTATAAATTTATATTAAAAATAAACATAAAAAAACACAGATTCATATAATGCACTTTACCGTCGCGACAAAGACTACATAAATATTAGAAATAACAAATTTGGATATAAAAAAAAAACGTTTTTTTTTT